GTAAAATACATTTCCTATATCTTAATATATCTATACAGCTGATGTCTTTTCTCATTTTTTAAAATTTATTTTAAATTTTTTCTTTATTTTTGAGATGAAGTCTTGCTCTGCTACCCAGACTGGAGTGCAGTGGCGAGATTTCAGCTCACTGCAACCTCTGCCTCCTGGATTCAAGCAACTCTTCTGCCTCAGCCTCCTGAGTAGCTGAGATTACGGGCACCCGCCACAATGTACAGCTAATTTTTATATTTTTAGTAGAGATGGGGTTTCACCATGTTGGCCAGGCTGGTCTCAAACTCCTAACCTCAAGTGATCCTCTGCCTTGGCCTCCCAACATGCTGGGATTACTGGTGTGAGCCACCATGCCTCATCCTCTTTTTTCATTTTTAAAAGCTTGTATCCTTCAACATTTTTCTCTATATTCTGTGAATTTGTCAGGTGTTTTTTTTTTTCATTGGGGTTCCAATAAATGCCAAGGTTAGCCAATGAAAGCCTGGGCATTATAGGATGTCACTAAATTGATTTCTTGACCCTTTGCCTTACAACACCTTCAACATCAGAGAAGTAGGGATTCATTCGGATACTCCTCAACACTTAGTATTACTAGAATTACGTTACCAATTACAAATTGTCCATCACTCCTTGAGTGTGGTCTCTTGTGAGCCCTGTAAAGAATTAAACAAAAAGTGATGAAGGTTTTAATTCCACCATGGGTCTGCTTGCCATCACTATATTTCTAGATTTCATTATACACATTCATATATTTATACACCATTCATTCCCAGCATTCCCCAGATGCTTAATTTTAATGGTGTGATAATCTGACTAATGGCTTTCTATCCCATTAGAAAACCCATTGAAACTATTTTGATAAAGAGCTAAAATTAAACATTTTAGGCTTTGTGCACCGCAAGTTATTTGATGCAGCTACTCAAGTTGGACATTATAACATGAAAACCATCATAGGCAATATGTAAAAGAATGAGGATGGCTATGTTCTGATAAAATTTTATTTCAGTGTCTGTACACCTAAATTAAATGCACATAATTGTTTATATAACACAAAATATTAATCTTCTTTTGGTGTTTCTCAGTCTTAGCTTAAGGGTTGTACAAAAACGAGTAGGAGGTAGGTTCAGCTTGCAGATTGTAGTTTGCTGACCCCTGCATTAGACTTACAGACCCATAAGAACAGATTCTGTGTCATATCTTAATTTGCCAACATAGGTCCAAGCCTTAGACAATGCTCTATACATTGTACATGCTCAACACATGCTTAGAGGGTGAATTACTGCTAAATAATTTATGGTTTTCTTAATACCATGGTTACCTTGTTTGTGTGTGAATGATTTTGTTGGTCTCTCTCTCTCTCTCTTTCCCTCCCCCTCTCCCTCTCTCCTCTCTGTCTCTGCCTTCTCTCTCTCTTTCTTTCTCTCTCTCCAAGATTCTAGTGAAGTCAGAACATGGTAGCCTTAGAGGGTTATTCTATTCTTAAAGGGTTATCCTTACCTTAAAGGGTAAGTTATTTCTATTAAGTTCAGGATATTTAGAAAGAGACTTAGTTTTCAAAGAAGAGCTCAGTTAAATAACTCAAATGGTACAATGAACTGAATGATTATGTCCCTCCAAAATTCACATGTTGACAGTCTAATCCCCAAGGTGACGGGATTACGAAGTGAGATTTTTGGGAGGTGCTTAGGTCATGAGAGTGAAGCCCTCCAAAATGGGATTAGTACCTTTATAAAGGAAAGAGACAGCTCCCTTGTCCCTTCCACCACCTGAGGAAGCAGAGAGAAGGCACTGTCTATGAGCCAGAGCATGAGCCCTCACCAGACACCCACTCTGCCAGTGCACTGATATTGGACATCCCAGCTTCCAGAACTGGACGACAAATTTCTGTCTAGCTTATAAGCTACCCATCTTAGGGTATGTTTTATAGCAGCCTGAGCGGACTAAGACAAATGGTAAGAAGCCATATAGCACATTATCAAAATTGTCACTGCTACCTTCCTGGAGCAGCCCGAGTGCAACAGTCAACAGTCTCCTAAGATCGACATATCTTTAACTCTCTGGACCTGATCTACTTTGTTCTGGTGCCAACTACCAACTTTTCCATTAAATTCTAGTGCTGTGCCTGAGCCCGGCACCAATGTAGCATTGTGTCCTGCATATGCAAGACTTGGTTGTGGTCTTCAGCTTTATTCTGGAATGAGTGATAGGGTAGCGCCCCGAGCTACGTCCAGGTCTACTGTCACTTCTACCAGAGCAGATTTAATCCTTTAAATCACATAGTCATTTTCACCCGACGCAGTGGTCACCAGCCCTTGCCACAGCTACCATACCTACAAAATGACATATCAGCAGCAAAGGATAACTCTGTCTTTGTGAGACCTACTCTATGGATCTACGCAAACCTATAGAGTTTAAATTGTTCTTTAGGGGAGCATAAGATGTTGCAGAAACCAAGTACAAATTCTATAACCAATAATATTTTGAAAAACGGTGTTATTTTTATTCACTTTGTATCACTTTCACATAAAAAGAAAAAATCAAAACAAAGACAGCGTTAAAATGGAGCAATAGTATTTTATAGGTGGTAAGCTGCATGTTTTCTTGTGCATGACTCTAAAAGCAGTAAAAAGATGCTTTGCTAAAAAGCATGATTGTCATAAATTTTCTAACTTTTCAGCCACACACTGTTGAAAATATTTCTACCAATGAACTCAAAACAGTCTTATAAATTATCTACATTCCTTCATGAACCATCATTTACAAGTTACAATTAAGCCTTTTCTTCTTTTTAAACTGTCTTTACAAATATTACCCTGGGAATTTTATACATGGGATTTGGTCCTACCTTCAGTTTAGAGAAACTGTATTTTGAGTTCTGAGTAGAAGGCGGAGACGAACTTGCTAGCATGTTCATAGGATTTGGGAGGAAAAAAAGTCTGGAAGTTTTCACAGTGGTGCTAGGAGAAGCTTAAAGGAGTATATTCCTTCCCTGTGTCAAGAATGTGTTCTCTATTCACCAAAGTAAATAAATAACTACATAGGTATAAATTAAAATAGATGGATCAATAAATAACATTTTTAGAACCAGAAAAATCAGCATCCATCAAGCTGAGAGACCCCACACAATACCATACTATGGGGTGTGCTATACTGAGGAAACCAAGGAAGGAATGGCAAAGACTTGATTGGAATAAAATCAGATCCTAAGAATAAGACTGGCAAAAAAGACAGAGCTCAGAGGGCAGCAGCTACGTACACCTGAAAAGATTCAACAAGTCCCAGGAAGGTGTCTGCACCTCCGCCCGGACTCCTCCAATGCTCTGGTTTTTACCACCTTGAAGGGGAGTTGGGATCCTACTACCTGGGGTCCTATCACCTATTGTAGGACCCCAGGCCGACCCTCCTTCTTGCCCACATAGTGCCTCTGGTGCCTACTTAAACTTAAAATACAAAACTTGGAAGCATTTAAAGGATAAGAGAAATGCCTTAGAGTTGCTGCAGTGAGTCAGCACATTAATGCTGACTCCACAGTTATCTGGATTAGAGCTGGCCTTGTCTGTGACCTGGACTCTCACTTTGCCCAATCCCAAGCGCTTGCAGAATGACTGGCTGGCTGGAGCTCCTGCCAATTTGTTCTTCTGGCTTACATTTCATTATTTAACATAAACCAGGAGTCAGTACTAAACCAGCCTTCTTGTTCTCATATCTTTCATCACCCCAGAAATTGACAAAAACTGACAGAGTTGAGAGGATGTCTGATTTTACCTGCCAAATATTTCCTAATTTATACTCTATAGCAAAAAAAAAAAAAAAAAGACAATTTCAAAGCATTTTCAAAGCAGGAGATTTTAATGTATTGTTATTCTTGGGGATAAATCTTTCAGGATATTATCTTCCAGAATTTCAGATGTAATGGGAAAGAGTAAGATCAGTATCTGAAGCAGTTTCCACAGGTAAGTCTAGATCATTATATTTTTTAAAGATATGTACATGGACATCAGCTTGTTCTGGGCTCTCGCATATATTTACTACACTGTCAGACACCTACCAAGTGCTTAATACGTATGAATTCTTAGCTTGTCCTTCAGGGTTTTGGGTAAGCCTTTGCAATTTCCAAGTCGAAATTCAGCAAAACTTTATGTATCAAACAGAAGAAACCACCTCACCTACAACAATGGGCCTGAGACTCAGCAGGATGAGAAATATCTTTTTATGAATACAGGTTTTAAAATATGGAGCCACCACACACAATAAACAGCAGGATAGGTCAAGTATTAGACAGCAATGAACGCCAATGGGTGGTTTTGGCATCTCTTTTGAATGCAGTGGGCCATAGCCATGGTCCTCATTTCTTTCTAATTGGCACATGTGACATCTGGACCTCTCTATTAGCCTGAGGTCACAGCACTTCGTGCAGGAACCACAGATTTAAAGAGACCTTGGTATGTATTCATAAGGCTGAAATGAAGATCACATCTGCGCAACTCCACCAGCCCTTTGTTCAAAATCTCTCCAGGATCAATGAATAAGGAAAGCAAGATGACTGACAGGCAGTACTAAAAGCATTAGCAAATTGCAGCTCCCTTCTCACCACCCCACTGTCTGTCCATCTCTGGTATCCATTCCTGCTCTTTACCTCCCAACTAACATGCTCCGTGTTTCTTCCCCTAGAGAAGATGATGAAAGCAAGAGATCAGGTATTCAAAATTGCCATGAAGCTTCTCTCTTCCTTGCCATGCCACCCCTGGCATCTTGTCAGTTGGCTTCCAAGTTTCAGCATTCACTTTATAAAATGAATTAATTTGTGTGAAATTTGCTGATAGATGCAGGCTCAGCACTCTCAATATTAGAAAATGACAAACCTTCCTGATAGAATTTGTCTTTTAATAGTCTTCCCTTGGAGAATACGTATTTTCACTCTCCCTATTGCTACCATGGGTATTGCATTTGTCCTGATCAGCACAGTAACATAAAGAGGCCATAGAGAAGGCATATGGCCAGCTGCACTTTTCATTTCCTGGTTCTCTGTTGACAGTATTGCTTATTTCCAGATGGATAAATAGTTTGCACCTTAATGTAATCAAAGACTGAAAAAAAGATTCCACTTGAAAAATATCTGGGAATAGAGAAAAGAAGGGGAAAATAGGCCTCTGAGGCAGTATCTACAATGTGGAACTGAATTTCACTCAATCTTCACTAACAATAAACCTCATGTTTTATAACATTTTACTGAAGCCTTATTTTCTAATAAATCCCCTTTTGTTTTGATTCTTATTGCTGTATAATAAGCAAAAAAGAAAAGAACAATGGCTGGAAATTCTGTCTGTGTGATTTGAAGTGCTCTCACTTGCATGCTGAGAAGTGTTATAAGGAATATTTTTGGCATCAGCTGATGATAGCAGCTTGGTACTAGCAGCACTTGATTCAAAATGTCATATGATACAATAATACACAAATTGAGTCCACAGAGGGGGAAAACTCATGCAACCTGTCACAGGTACAGTGAGTTTCCATGAGTATTCAGGGCTGGAGATGTAGAAGTAGAAACCTGAAATCTGAAGTATGAAAAAAATGAACTAACACTTAACATCCACAAATACCAAGCAAAAAATAACAAATGAAACATAGCAGTTAAGTTATGCAATCATAATACAAGTGGCTTCTCTAGTCAAAATCTTATGGCACAAATCTATGAATGATCTGCTACAACTAAAGTACTCAAGTCAATGGGAAAACATATTTATTCAAATAAAATGTCTTTTCTATGACTTTTTAAAAATTAATTTTCTTAAAATAACAGGTTTTTTCTCCATTGCTTAATCTTCATCTTCTGCTGTTTTTTCCTAGAAGACTGTTTGGTCCAAAAAAAACCACACATCCTGAATGATTAGGAAAACTATTAGGACTGCTTTATTTAAAAAAAAAAAAAAAGTTTTAATATTAGCAAGAAATTTATTTCATGTTATCTCTAAAAATAATTACATTCTAAATATTAGTTCCAGAGTCATTCTTTAACCCCGTGGCATCCCCTTGGCTTGAACTCTGTCACTTGTGTTTGAATATTTGAGTGGTTGCTGGGACTAGATTGTCAATTTCTGTTTGCCATCCCCTCCTTTCTCATTTCCAGTATGTCTCCAGTGGTCAAAATAGCTGTTTCCTCCTGATAATACTAGTGAAATTTTTCTAGTTTCACTTTTCCCTAGTCTATATAGTTAGACTGCCATTGTTCAAGTTTTGCCTCCCTCAGAACCATCTGTGTGACCTCTATCAAAAGATGGCTCTCTCAGTGCCTCAGTTTCCTGATCTACCTCCTGAGGTTACCATGAGGACTAAAAGGGTTATAATAGCACTTAGAACAATGTCTGGTACAGAGTAAGATCTGTGTTAATGTTCTCAACTTGAAAATTGAAGTGATTTCATTGTGAAAGCATTATTCAAAATGTTTTTAAAAATCTACTTCATTTTTCTCCCATTAGTTTATGGATTACTTTAGTTTAAGTAATTTGTATGATTATTTTAAGTTGGCCACCCATAGGAGTTTAAAACCAGAAAGAACCATAAAAATCATGTTGTCCAACTTCTACAGGAGGTTCTTCATCATTATGATTATCACTAGGCATTTGTTTCTTAGTTAGTTGTACTTCTCATGGATTCTGGTGCCACTGGAGTGCATTTTTATCTAAGCTTAGGGCATGGAGATGTTCTCAACAGTATCTAAAAATTCACTTTCTTCTCTGTCCCTCTCATCAACATTTTTTGAACAGTGCTGATCTTTACTCTACCATGCACTGTGATATTTAATGGTTCGTGGTTTAGGCAAAGAGGATTCCTAGTTACTCTAGACTTTTCCTTAGCCTTTAGCAGCCTTAATTTTTTTCTTGTCCTTTGACTTGTACAGAACTGTGTGGTTTGTGATACCTTTGCACAATTATTACACAATGGATCCTAAAACCAACTTTCTAAAGATCGATGAAGCAGGCATAATTCTTCCCTCATTCTCCCCCAGGAAACTGAGCATCAAAGGCTAGGATCTTGCCTGAGATTACAGGATTAGAAGTACCAGAGAGAAACATAACGTCCAAGTCTTATTAGGATTTTCTCTCTAAAGGGTTTTTCACAGCACCACATTGCTTCTCCCCAAAACACATTGCTTCATACAACCATATTAATAGAAGCAAATACCTCAGCAAAGGGCAGAAACCAAGAAAATGACAGAAACGATAAAATAATGTCTGAATGGGCAGTAAAATATTTACACCATTCAGCAGCTCTAGGTCAAGTTCACACTGAGGCCATCCAGATGACACAGAGATTGAGAAAATAGACTCCTGAATTCCCTATCCATCCAAAATGGAGTAGAAAAATAAAGTCCCTTTGAACTATAGAAGAAAAAACAGAAGAATTGGCTTCGGTCATGTTGCTTCTTAATGTTGGTTATGTAGGACTGAGTTTGCACTGTCAGGACCACTGTTTCTGATCCGTTTGGAAGGTTAGAAAACCATTGTTATTTAAGTAAGGTAAGTAAATTTCAACTCTACGATGAAAAGTTTTTGCATCCCCTTCAGATATTTAGGTAAAACGAAGTTGGTGTGACATTTCTCATCATGTCTCCCAGGCCCAGAAAGACAACAGATGGTCTCTGAGTTCTAGAGATCTCTTTGTGTTCTATATTAAAATGTTTTCCAATAGACTGACATAGTGTAGGAGTCTGGCTCTTCATTAAAAAATTGTTTCTTAGGTTTTCTGCAACTTCTTCTGAGAAGTATAAGATTATGAGTTATCGTGGTTTGCAGCTTGGTGCACAAAACCCCTCTGCACACCATATTGGAATCACTTTGTATTTTTGGGGTGGTCTGCAGAATAGGGCAATGAACTTATGGACACTTGACTGGCCTTGATAATCCCCTGATGTACTACAAAGCAATTAGCAAGTAAATTTTTGCTAAGTACACTCAAGAGTAATAAGAAAAATCTTAAATTGTCATCAAAATGCTAACCATAGATTCAACTAAAACTGGACCAAAGAATGGCATATTTAGTCTTGAGCTTGAAGACCTAAATCACACAACTATAGAAGCACAATTGTGCATCCATAGTGCTCCATTTTTCCTTCCAAACCACTTTCCCCAAAAAAAGCAGCTTTGGAGACTGTCTTTACTTCAGTTAGATGATAAAGCTCAAGAAATATGAAACAACCCAAGGAAACTAGAATTCAGCAGCAGTGCTAAGACAAAATTAAGTGCACTCCTTTCAACTATTCATGAAATCCTCATAAAGAGGCCAAACTATTGCATTCTATCATGGAGAGAACATAGTTGAAATAATTTACATGTTCCAATTTTAGTGTGGTAAATCACCCCAGCATAAAAATCACACAAATATAGCAGAAGTTATCTTACCCATGATTTACCTACTAGAATCATTTAATCAATACCAACAAAAAAAAAAAAAGTAACTTTACAGTGGAATAACATGACTATGCTAGCTCAGACAGATACTCAAAGTCAACATCAGTGGTGATAAGTCATATTGATGGTATTGCTAGATAACCTTCACATGATGGGAGAAGGCTGGCATTTTACCTCGGATTTTCCTCCCCTCAAAACCTATAATACTTTTCTAAACATGAAGAAAATACCAGACAAATTCAAATTGAGGAGCATTCTACAAAATACTTGAACCAAAGCTCTTCAAAACTGTTAAGGCCATCAAAAACAGGGAAAGTTTGCAAAGCTATCACAGTCTAGAAGACCCTTAAAAAGACAGATAATTCAATGTAACATGGTATTTTATATGGGATCCTGGAACAGGAAAAGGACATTAGGTAGAAACCAATGAAATCCTAGTAAATTGTGGACTTTAATTAGCAATAATGTGTCAATATTGATTCATTAGTAGTTATGACAACCGCAGCATACTTACATAAGAGGCTATGTAAGACGAAGCTGGGTGTGGGATATAATGAGAATTCTCTGTACTCTCTGCAACTTTTCTGTAAATCTAAAACTATTCTGAAATAAAAGGTTTATTACAAACAAAAAAAAGGGCATAGGGGTTCATGCTTATAATCCCAGCACTTTGGGAGGCTGAGGTGGGAGGATTGCTTTAGTCCAGGAGTTTGAGACCAGTCTGGGCAATATAGCAAGACCCTTCCTCTATTAAAAAAAAAAAAATCAAAAAATTAGCAGGACACCTGCAGTCCCAGCTACTTGGGAAGCTGTGGGAGTGGGAGGATGGCTTGATCCCACGAAGTCATTAATGATTGCATTATTAAATGAACCAAAACTATTTTTTATCTCTTCTGTTTTACAGATCAATGTGATGGTGCCCATGGAAACCTGGCCACAGTGGCCCTCACAGACTGTCCAGGCAGGGAAGTTCTCGTCTCAACAACACACGGCCCTAATTTTGTTTATACACATTGTACTGTTATTTTCATTATGTAACTTAAGAATTTTTGAAATCACAAGTATAATTGCAAAAGACAGAGTTATTTCTATGAAAAATAGATTGGATGATTTGGCAAAACCTGGTAGAGGCAAATGGCTAAGAGTATTAAATTATTTAGGTATATGTGTTCTCATGCCATAAACGATTGGGGAAAAAAAGTCATGAACATCAAGAACGATGCTGCACTCAGCTTGCTTATGTTCCTCAAGTTCTGCTCCACTTAAAAACACCAAAATTAGAAATCATAGATTGTGGGTGTCATTTCTGCAGGAACTCAGATCAGTTCAACCCTAATCAAAGAACACACGGTGGAGCTATCTCAAAGTAGTGATGAATGAGCATTTATATATTTAACATAAAATAAAACGTTTAAGACATGTGTGTATCATTTTTAATAATTGTCCTGTTTTACTCTCTACTTTTGCTAATTTATCTTTTCAATTAACCAGTTGCTCCTGATCCCAGTTGACTTACAAAGACATTCTATTGAAGCTGATTTTTCATTTTACCTTTTATGTGTTAGTATTTTACAGTATGTCTTTTACCATACTTCCTTTATTTGGTAAGTTCTGGTTTTTATTGTGCACTGTTTTGTAATAAATGCGTTGTGCACTTCTGTCACCTGTTTTCCCTGGTGGACTCTAGACACAAGGGTGATTGCCTAATTATACTGTGCTGCTTATAAGAAGCAAATTAGTTAAGTGGCTTCTTAGATGAACACTGCAAAGTGCCATGTGAAAGCTGGAGGAAAAATATCCCTAAGAAAAAAGAGCTTTAAAATGTTGTTTTATTTTTTAAAAATCCAGTGTCTGAGAAAACATCATTTCTCCAAAATTAAGCAACTCTATTTTCTAAGAACTCTAAGTAGGAATAAAGATCAGAACTGAATAAATGTGATGTGCTTCTCTCTTGGCCTCTAGGTAATAAAAATTCTGCACTAGACAGATTATACTAGATGTGAATCTGTTTCTTATTTTATGCTGAGAGCAAGATCACTAAGACATACTTCACCTTCCTTAACAGAATCTATCTTTCTCAATGATGGTGATAAAGCAGTTTTTTCTACATGGGTAGAAAACTCATTCTAATCGAAGTTGAATAGTTC